CTCCTTTTGTGAGCTTCTGGGAAGCCAAATCAATGGGGAAGAAATGAGAGAGATAGAGATGGAGAGATAGAGGGGATAGGCAGAAAGATAAGAGATAGTTAAGAGATCGACCTGAAGAGCTGTCAGAGCTGAAGAAGCTTCTTGGAGAAGAAGCGAAACGTCTTCAAAGAATAGAATAGTTCAGAATAGAATAGAATAGAAAATTAGAATAGAGTAGAATAGAATAGAATAGAATAGAATAGAATAGAATAGAAAATTGGAATAGAGTAGAGTAGAGTAGAGTAGAACAGAACAGAACAGAACAGAACAGAACAGAATAGAATAGAATAGAATAGAATAGAATAGAAATCAGAGCAGAATAGAGTAGAGTAGAATAGAATGAGAAAGAATAGAGTAGAGTAGAGTAGAGTAGAGTAGAGTAGAGTAGAGTAGAGTAGAATAGAAATCAGAGTAGAATAGAAATCAGAGTAGAATAGAGTAGGGTAGAATAGAATAAGAAAAAATAGAATAGAATTGAATTGAATTCTTTCTTAGCCAAGTGTGATTGGACACTCAAGGAATTTGTCTTTGGTGCAAATGCTCTCAGTGGACATAAAGGAAAATTAAATACATTCACGAAGAACCATAAGATGCAACACTTAGTGATAGACGTAGGTTACTAATAAGCAATCAAATCATACTAGAAAACCAATAAAACACTATAAATTGTAAAGATGCAAGCAGTACGTTTATAGTCATAAGTGGGAAGAAATGGGTACTAGGAAGTATCATCATAATCTAGCAGTGGAAGAATGATAGCAATACTGCCTTAGTAAATAAGAAAAACTTATTAAATAGGTTTGTCTTATTTATTAATATAATAACTTATTAAAAAACCTAGTAAATAAGAAAACCCAGAAAACCCAGTTGCCCCCTGACAAAGCACCCTTGGGACAACCTGTTTCTTAATTCTAACAGGAGGGTCTCCCTTATGGGTTTGCCCCAGTTGGGTTAAGAAGGCCTTCCGAGATATTCCTCGGGGTTTTATGACTTTAGCGTAGCTTGTGCTCTTCCTGGAAAGGATTCTCTTAAGCTTTTGCACAGAGGCTACACCAGAGGGCAGCACCAAACTTAACTTTGGTGCTTTCAAAGGCTTTTGTTTGGAAAAACATAAAATAGATAGACAGATGTCGTTTTTTAAATGGACAGCAGCCCTAAAATCCTGCCTAACTGCGAACCTTAAAAAAAATAAAAATGCCCCGAACACAGTGACAAAATATTGTGTCTCTGGAATCACCACCAACCAAGGAAAGGATTTGCCTTATATGTGTGCTGAGACTTTCAAACGTTTTTAATTTTAAACATTTGGGCTTTTCACCTCTATAATGCCTTGACTCACCTGTTACAGGTACAGCCTCGACCACAGTTGAGCTCCAAATTTATGGCACTAAGTGAAACATTTGTTGAGTGAGCTTTGCTCCGTTTTACGATCTTTCTTGCCACTGTTGTTTAAGTGAGTAACCCGGTCATTAAGTGAATCTAGCTTCCCCATCGACCTTGTTTGTCAGAAGGTCGCAAAAGGTGACCCCGAGACACTGCAACCATCGTAAATAGGAGTCGGTTGCCAAGCAAACTTTGATTATATGGCCATGGGTATACTGCAACAGTCGTAAGCATGAAGCGTAGTCGTAAGTTACTTTTTCCCGTGTCCTTGTAACTTTGAACCATCAGGAAATGAACTTTTGTACATCAAAGACTACCTATATTGATCTTAATGAGTCTTAAGTATCTGGTGGTTAAGCTTAAGACGCCGTGTTTCTCCTGGTTCCTAAATTGATCCATGTTCAAAATTCACTGACTCGTAAGCAAGCTGAGATGCCCCAGTATCCTAGCCTGTCATAGTAGTCCCACCAAAGCTGACTTTAACCGAGTTTGGGATCGCATAATCGATGCGTATCTGGCATGCTTGGATTTCTCGGTGGGGTCAAAAATTTCACGTGTTTTCCTCAAAGCTGGAGGAGGCATCTTCTCCTAATTTCACGAAGGCCAAAGAGAGATCCTTTGGTCCAGAGCTCTTTCCCAGCACCGCTGAATTAACTCAGATTAACAGATTGGGAAGGGACCTTGTAGGTCATCTAGTCCAACCCCCTGCCCAAGCAGGAGACCCTACACCATTTCTGACAAGAGTCCAGTCTCTTCTTGAAAGTCTCAAGTGTTGAAGCTCCCACAACTTTCAAGGGCAACTTCTGTTCCATGGGTTGATTACTCTCCCTATCGGGAAATTCCTCCTTATTTCCAGGTTGAATCTCTTCCTGTTCAGTTTCCATCCATTATTCCTTGTCTGGCCTTTGGGTGCCTTGGAAAATAGCTGGACCCCTTCCTCCCCCTCTGTGGGGCAGCCCCTTAAACTCCAAATTGTTTAGCCAAATCTTGATTATTTGGAAACACCACAGAGCTCCTGTATTTATTTATTTATTCTTTCATTCTTTGTTCTAACAAATGGATGAATAAAGTTGTTGGAAAGTTCCCGGAAGAGGAACCTGTGGAAAACCAAAGCCACTGCTCCATTCTTTAAACAGAACAAAGACTATTAACATCAACCGATGATACTGAATTTTTAAAAAAATATATATTAAAGGGAAGAAGGAAATGATTTATCAGCCATTCAAAAAGAATTCGCTATTTGCTGTGTGATAACGGAATCATAACTTCCGCATTCTTTCATTTCTTTGATGGTAGGCCGTGTGTGTGTGTGTGTGTGTGTGTGTGTAGAGAGAGAGAGGCAATCTAGCAGCAACGTTTCAGCATAGTAGCACCTGCAGATTGAGAAGATCAAATTCAGAATAAAATATTTGTCTCCGCACCAAGTTTAAATGAGGAAGACTTTTTAAAATGTTTGTAACCGAGGTTCTTGTTGCTACATTGCTTTACTTGGGATATTCTCCTTTATGTTTTAATAAACCAATAAGATCTCCAAGCTACTTTTCATGGGGGGAAAAAATCTCTATTTCCAATGTAATTATTGCAGTGGAGTGATACTTGTCTTCGTGTTCTCTAAATAGCCATAAATGAGATCCCACCTTGGTTTAAAATGTGCGTAGAATCCCTTTGCTCAGAAGAGTAAATTGTTCTGAGTGCTACAACCCTGAATTGTCTGCCAAAATGAAATGTTCTTGTATAGGAAGTAGAAACAAATTTAAGCAAATTTTTACATTTGCATACATCTCGATGCTTAGTTAACTTCCCTTCGGCTGCCTCTCTACCTGGGGAAGACAGGTAACGTTCTCTGTTTGTGACATTTTGACTGAGGCAAGAAATGGAGAGGCAGGAAAAGAGGGGTTTATGGGACCAACTCTACACCCCTCAGCCATGGGTGGGGTCTTCAGAGAGAGCCCAGAGCAACACGACAGAGAAGCGGCACATGAAAAGGATTAAAAGCGACGTATTTCCTATGGTTATTGATTGAAAATGGCAGCTTGATGGAACGTTTCCCTTCAGAGAAGCTGCTCTTAGTTCCTTGTAAACAATAGCCCTGGGAGGAATTTGGGAGTTGCAATTCCCTCTGGGTTGATTCTGTGCAGAAAATTTGAGAGGCGGATTCCGAATGAGTTGGTACAACGGCTACTGAATTGCTCACTGCTCCCCTTCTGTGAGCATTCCCCGCTCCCAAAGTCGTGAGTGCTTCACTTGTAGGGTTAACAATAATTCCCCCAAGGCAGTGTTCTAGGACCAACTCTCTTCATACTCTACATAAATGACCTCTGTGATCATATTAAGAGCAACTGCGTTCTCTTCGCTGATGATGTAAAGCTGTTCAACACCACAGACAATACTGCTACCCTCCAAAAAGACCTTGACTATGTATCAGAATGGTCAAACAAATGGCAACTTCAAATCTCAACAAATAAATGCTCTGGCTTACATATTGGCAAAAAAAATCAGAATACAAAACAGACTTAGAAAACCTTGAATTACACCCTCTTCTGTCTGATCTAAGTATAGTATATAAAATCATATATTGCAATGTCCTACCTGTCAATGAATACTTCAGCTTCAACCATAACAACACAAGAGCAAACAATAGATACAAACTCAAGGTAAACCGCATCAAACTTGATTGCAGGAAATACGACTTCAGCCACAGAGGGGTCAATGTCTGGAATCCTCTACCTGACTCTGTAGTTTCTTCCCCAAACCCCCAAAACTTTAACCTTAGACTGTCTACTACTGAACTCACCCCTTTCCTAAGAGGTCTGTAGGGGGCGTGCATAAGCGCACCAACGTGCCTACCGTCCCTGTCCTATTGTTTCTTTTGTTTTTCTTATATGTACCCATTTCATGTATTCATAACTATGTATATACTTATACCTATTATCTTGTCAAGCGATTGACAAATAAATAAATAAATGTACGGAGAGAGAGAAAACAGTCTTTAGAAGAGAATATTTGTAGCTCAGGTTTGAATTGGGGGAGGGCTCCTTGTTGCTCTCTGGCCTTGGTGGTTTTCTTACAGATGTTTCATGACCCAACTGGGGAACGTCATCAGTGCTAGAAGGGTGTTGGGTTTGCGGAGAGGAGGAAGAGGAGGAGGAGGAGGAAAAAGAGGAGGACTGTGGGGTCCTTGGGGCATTCAGAATTTGGTAGTTTTCTTGCAGGCATTTCATGACCCAACTAGGGAACGTCATCAGTGCTAGAAGGGAAGGGGAGTTTGACACTTTCAAGGTATTAGCACTGAGGATGTTACTTAGTTGGGTAATGAAATGTCTGCATTAAAATCCCCAAGCTCAGAAAGCACCAAAGACCTCAATCTGTGGAAATAACTTTGCCCGCCTTTTCTCAGGGCGAATGATCGGCTCATGGGGTGAAGGGATTACAAATCTAAAAGGCCACCTGATTTTATTTTTGCTCAAGATTTTACTTATGCGAAGGCAATCCTTCTGCCCTTTCCTTTGCTTAACAAAACAGGTTGGCCATAATTTCCTTAATTTATTAAAAGCCAGAACCCTTTCTGTGTCTTCTAGATCCCGTAAGTGAGACCTGGGAGTCACCTCAGCTACCAAGGACTATCATGGCTGAACCAGATTACATAGACGAAGACAATCCTGAACTAATTAAGCCTCAGAAACTCATTAATCCTGTAAAATCATCCCGGAACCATCAAGATCTTCATCGAGAACTCCGCATGAATCAGAAAAGGTAAGAGGCAAAGACCTAAATCCTTTTTCTTTTTAGTTAATAAGGAATAAGGAGTCTGCTTATTAGACTCGCTCCCTTAATCCAACTATCCAATGGCTGGGCTGCAATCCACGGTTAAGTAGATTTTTGCTTACAGTTAGTCCTTGACTTATGACCATTCATTCAGTATCCATTGGAAGTTACGATGCATTGAAAGAAGTGACTTACAACTGGTCGGAACACTTATGATCAAAATTCAGGTGCTTGGCATGTATTTACAGTGGTTGCACTGTCCCCGAATCATGTGGTCGCCATTTGAAATCTTCTCAGCCACTTCCCACAAGCATGAGCCGCAGTGGCGCAGTGGTTAGAGTGCAGTAATTGCAGGCTACTTCTGCTGCCTGCCGGCTGCCTGCAATTTGTCCGTTTGAATCCCACCAGACTCAAGGTTGACTCAGCCTTCCATCCTTCTAGGTGGGTAAAATGAGGACCCAAATTGTTGGGGGCAACAGGCTGACTCTGTAAACCACTTAGAGAGGGGCTGCAAAGCCATGTGAAGTGGTATATAAGTCTAAGGGCTATGGCTTTGCTCTTCCTTTCCTTTCCTTTCCTTTCCTTTCCTTTCCTTTCCTTTCCTTT